GACATTATCTATGACATCAGCTAGCACTTACTCCTAATGACATCATGAATGACATTAGAAAACACTATGTAATTTTTAGTTTTTGGCTATAAATAGCCCCCCTATCACTTGTAAGACACACACCTTACACTATCATTTGAGAAAGAATTCTCTCCCTCTCTAGAATTGGTTAGAGCTCTCCCTCTAGTGTATTAATATAAGTGTTAAACTTGTATTATCAATTTTTTAGTTTCGATAATAATCAAGTTTATATTTATTTTACTCTGGCCCAAGTTTACATTTATATTACTCTGCATTATGGTCGGTTCAACCACCTAATTTACTTTATCGCATTTTATTTACATGGTCGGCTCTGCCCCATAAATTTATTTGCTTGCACTCTAACTCTATCTTGTGCAGGTTTAATTATTGTTATTTGCTTCCTGTCCTTATATTTATTTATTTTTTCCCTAATCTTTTAGGGGCTTCGCTTCCGGTCCCCTGATAGCTCAAGATACCCCAACTAACGATTCTTCTGTACAAATTCTCCAAGAAGTCGATTCTGACCAAGAAACCAATTTAAAGTCAGTACAATTTTCATGACAATCCTCCCCTAGAAATTTCCCTGCTAGAACAGGATCCTTCAACTGGCGTCAACCCCAAAGACTTTACTATTCTAGAGCTACCCATCCTGATGTAGCCTTAGAAGAAAGACCCAATGCAAAACTACTATAATGCAATAATATCTATGAATGAAACATAGATGGTTGTTTTGAATACAATATTTTGGCCAAATTACAGCAAATGACTATGGTAGCCACTGCATACCGAACTTCTCATAACTGTTTTGACCAGCTTATTACCCATGTCTTAGTAGCAGGTTTCACAAGTCAACTTAAGGGATGGTGGGATACCCATCTTAGCGAAGAAGATGAGAACCAAATTCTCTTAAGTGTCCGAGTTGATTCAACGGGCGAACCAATTCTTAAAGATGGCCTTACCATTCCCGATTCAACCAACACCCTGATTTATACCATTATTAAAACATTCATAGGTAGTCCAGGTATCTTTAGGGAAAGATCTTCTGAGATACTTAACAACCTTAAGTGTAAAACTCTTTCTAATTTTAGATGGTATAAAGATTCCTTTCTTACCCGAATCTACGAAAAACTTGATGGAAATCTCCCATATTGGAAAGAAAAATTCCTAGATGACCTACCTAAGTCTCTTAGGGATGTAGTTAAAGAAGAACTCCGGAATCAGCATTCTGGTGAAGTTATTCCTTACGAACGAATGACCTATGGCCAACTTACCAGTCTCATTCAACATGTCGCTCTCAAAATCTGTCGACATGATAATATATTGAGACAATTAGCCAAAGATAGAACACAGACTTGCCGAGATCTAGGTAATTTCTGTGAGCAATTTGGCTTATCACCCTGTAGTAAAAAGCCTCATAAGAGACGAACAACCAAGGATATGGAGATTACGAAATATAGGTCTTCTGCACCTAAGTTTAGAAAGACCAAACTATTTCCTCCTAAATCTTAAACCTTTCCAAGTAAACATTTTTTTTTGATAAGGACCTTTCCCAGTAAACATAAACCAACAAACTTCCAAACTCCCAATTCTGGCAAATGTTTCAAGTGCAACAAACCAGGTCATATAGCCAAATACTGCAAGTTGTCTAACAGAGTTAGAAATCTTGATTTAGATGAGTCTGTTCTTAACCAGATCGAACAACTTTTATTAGAAGATAGTGATACTTCTGATGTTGCTGATGATGAACTTGAACAACAATTTAACCAACTCGAAGACGATGACACAAAATCATCTTCATCCCTAATCCCTAAATCCTAAATCCTAAACCCTTAACTCAAATTATGTAGAAAAGTTAGATCTGAAAATCAACAACAACAACAACAACGACCCAGTAAAATCATACTAAGTGGGGTCTGGGGAGGTTAGTGTGTACGCAGACCTTACCCCTACCCCGATAGGGCAGAGAGGCTGTTTCCGATAGACCCTCGGCTCAGGAAGATGGCAATAAAACAAGAAAAGACAATTCATCAGTATCGTCAACATAACCATAGAAATAGTGACGACATCCTAAAAACCATAAAATAGATGACATGCAATAACAATAACCAACAATAGATCTGAAAATCAAATATATGGATATATGTCTTCTCTCCACTTTTTTCAGGAAAACTGCTTACAGTGTAGATCCGGAGGGATCATAGTGCCAACCTTAAGAGATCTTCTTAAAAAAAGTATAGGATTTAAGAAAGATATATAAAAGAAGCCATATATCTATAGATCTAAGTTTGATATATCAATACCACATAAAAGCAAGTTAAAAATAAGAAATATATATATATATATATATATATATATATATATATATATATATATATATATATATATATATATATATATATATATATATATATATTCACCTTCCAAAACCAACTTGGAAAGCATTCACGGTTCATCCTATGGAGTAAACAATTAACCTCTGAATTCCCTCAGTGGTTTATACATTAATGGTGGCCTGTATATGGTCATAGAGCTGAAATCCTCCTAGCACCAGTAAGAGAAGGATACGAGTATTTCTGTCATAGGTTTTCTAGTGAACAGCAAATACCCATACCCCTCCAATTTTCCCACCGATTTCATATCCCATGGATATACTCCCAGGAGTTTTCCTTCCACAAGCCAGACTCTCTCTACTATATTAATATAAGTTTTTAACTTGTATTATCAATTTTTCAGTTTCAATAATATTCAAGTTTATATTTATTTTACTCTTGCCCAAGTAGATCGGAAGAGC